TGTCGAGATAGTGTCCCTTGAATCCAGCCTTTTGGTTGTCGGGTCCTGCAAGATCCAGGCGACCTCCTTCGCGGCCCACAAGACGCGGCAGAGAATACTCGATCAGGTTGCGAGTTGAGTAACCAACTCGTACGTTTTGACCTTCTCGGAGAAACGATGCCGTCTCAGCGAATGAAGCAAAGGAGAGGGGAGACCAGGTCTCTGCTCTCTCGAACAAGTCGGGGTGGTTACAGACTTTCCTGAATTGCATGACCAGGTTCATCAAAGTGGCACTGTCCTGCTCATCTCCAACAGCCTTTTCGACCAAGTCCATAATGTTGATCTTGGCGCGTAGATTGGCGTAGTAGGCGCGCTGGCGATATGTCAGGTCGCAATAGACATCAAGTTCAATCTTGTCTCCAAGCTCTTTCTGCACATGCTTCTTGACACGCCGCAACATGAACGGCTTCAGGATCATATGCAGACGCCTCAGCTGGTCCTCGTTGAGCTTGGTATTACTCTGTGCGTGACTCTCGATATCCTTGGAGAACCACTCGCTGAATTCGTCGTGAGAATCGAACAAACTTGGCATGATGAAATGGAGAAGTGCCCAAAGTTCTTGCATGTTGTTCTGGATAGGGGTACCCGTCAGTAGCAGTCGATTACGTGAGTGGAATCCGAGCAAGCTCTTCCATCTGGAACTCTGCGATGACTTGATAGCCTGAGCCTCGTCGAGGATCATGTACTGCCAACGCATCTTCTGGAAATACTGAGCATCCTGGACGACCAATTGGTACGAAGAGACAACAACGTGGAAGGGCGAGTCGCGAGTGTAGGTAACGTGCTTGCGGTCCCAAAGCTTACGGAGAATCTTTCGATCTTTGGCTGTACCCCAGTATGGAATGACGTTGAGATCTGGAACAAACTTTGCTATTTCCTGCTGCCAGTTGTGCAACGTTGATGCAGGAGCGATGACAAGGAAAGGTCCCCAGATGTTGTACCTCTCCGCAAGATACGCCATGACAGATATCGACTGGACCGTCTTTCCGAGACCCATTTCGTCGGCCAGAATACCGTTGATACCTTGCTCGTACAGGTTGACGAGCCAGTTCAGACCCTTGAGTTGGTATTCCTTGAGGGTACAGCTGAGTAGATTTGGCTGAGGAATCCAGTCTTCCTTGTTCTGGAGACCGGATGGGTTTTGGAAGTTCAGTTCTCCATCCTCGTCGTCGTCGCCAGACTTGTTGAAAGCACGGGCACGATCTTGTGCCTCTTGGATAGCGTGTTGAGCGTTTGCCATTGCAGCAGCGTTGAGAGCGCTCTCGTCCTCGTTATCGAAATCCAGATCCTCAAAGTTTGTGACCTTGGCAGCTGCCCTGGCTGGCATGTCTCCGACCTCGATACCAGGCTGAGCGGGTTGCTGTGGTGCTGCCGCGGCGGTATCGGCGTCGTCAGTAGACCTCTCAATCTCGTCTGTTCTGGCCTTCTTTCCGATGAAATGCGAGTAGAGTTCGGTCTGCGAGATAAGAAAGTTGAGCTTCCGCTTCTGTCGGTTGGCTTCACGGTCGGCTTCGGCCTTCTTCGCATTCTCCAACTCTTGACGCTCTGCATTCTTTCGCGACTCGCGCTCGTCACGCTCGTTCCTCTTCCAGAAGGCGAGCATCTCGCGCATGCCTCGCTTCGCCCTGGCCTGCGTATCCTTCTGGTTCTTGTTAGTGCGCATCTGCCATCTACGTGCTTCTTTGGCGGCCAACTGGGCAGTCTTGCGAAGATTTGACTGTTTCGTAGACAGTGAGTTCTCCTTGATGCGGACGACCTTGGGAACATCTTTGCGGGCCAAGTCCTTGACGATCTGGTGGTACAGATTGCGATATACGGGCGAGTCATAGGAAGTGAGCACGACGGGGCCGATATCTTCGGTGTAGCTGCGGCCTCGTATCGAGTCAAGACGGGCCTCCTCACGCGGAGCAATCATAGGAAGATCGTCACCACGGTCGAGAGCAGCTTGGCCTGCGGCTGCGGCATCCTTTTCTGCCTGCTTTTGCTCCTTGCTCTTCTTAAGACGACCGTTGCCACGGTTGCCCTTGCGCTTGCCACTTGGGGCGTCGTCAGAGGCCTGGAACGAACTCATCATGCCTCCCTCCATGTTGGGGCCATGTGGGGTAACCTCGCGGATGTCCTTGCTAGGAGCATTGCCTTGCAAAAGTTGGGTGGTAGTCTTGGCCTTGCGTTCAGCTTTCTGGGCAGCCAGCAAGTGTCGTTCCTTCTCCTCCTCATTCTCAGCTTGGCCAGCCTTTGCAAGAGCTTCAGCACGCTTAGCCTCTTCGTTCTGGATGGTCTTTTCTCGTCTTCGTTTGCGTTGCATGTCTTTTTTGCGCTCCTTCTCTTCGGCAATCTCCTGGCTCTGCACTTGCTGCCATGCATCACCCTCATGCTCGACGTTGTACGAGTGCTTGGCGTAGTCACGGTGCGCAGCCGACACATCCTGGAAACGGATCAAGGTTGCTGTCCGTCTTCGCTTGCGCTTGCTCGCCTCTGTAGCAGAAACTTCTAGGATACGCTTTTGACTCCGTTGCCTGTATTCTGCCTCTTCGCGCGAGTTGATCAGAATGTCCATGTCTCCCATCTGCGTGGTCTCGATGTGTGCAAGCTGAGCCTCAACATCGGCTTCATCAGGAGGTGGCAGTTCGCGAGTCGCAGATTGCAGTGCAGCAGGCTGCACGCTCCCAGGTACAGCGATGGTATTGTGCGGCGGCCGTGGGGCATAGCCGTTCTCGTGGAGTGGCAGGTCAGCTGGCGCTGGGGATGCCACGGCCTCTTGCTTGACAAAGTGCTGGTTGGGCAGGGGCTTTGATGGTCGGAATGGGTCGGCGTTGACGGGAGCGGACGGCTGAGGTTTGGACGGGGGCTCGTTATCCGCTCCAGAGGACATTATACTCGAGAGCGACATGGGGTCGGCGCGTGTCGGTAGTGGTGGTGGAGCCTGTTGATGGGAGAGATGGCGATGAGCAAGGGTTGTCGAGCGGAGAGGAGAGGTGGGTTGACTTACCTCATCCTTGAAAGACGGCCGTCTATCGTAGGTCGGCGGCTGGACGGCACCGCCCGGCCGGTTCATGGATTGATAAACTGATGGCGAGACGGGAGAGTGTGACATGGTCTCCATGCCGCCGGTGTGCTGGTGCTGCGAATGGGGCCGCCGCAAGGGCGAGTGCTGGGGATATGAAGCGGCGACGGGCGAGTGATGGACCTTTTCGTAAGGGCTGTGGGCGGGTCGAGGGTCGTGGTAGGCGTGAGGGTCCCGGGGCTGCTGCGCGGTCACTGTTAGGCGTGTATCCCTGAAGGGGGGGAGATGAAGCAAAGGCAGGCAGGTAGGCAAAGAGAGTGAGTGAGGTGGGCAGAGAGAGAAAGCACGGATGAATTGACGCGATGCAGCGTGATGGAGATACGCACCTGTGCGGGATACTGGGGGTCGTAACGCGCCGGGTCTCTGGCTACGCGGTGGTCGCCATTGTCCGAGGTCGGGTCGTAATATCTAGACGTGTCGCGAGAATAGAGGGCCGTGCTGATGGGCGGCAGCTCGGTCGAGGCTGGCGATGCAGGCTGGCGGTGGTGTTGATGGGGCTGCAGAGGCAAGGGCGCAGGCGTGTTTGGCGAGTGGTGGTGGTATGGTTGGCCTGCTTGTGTGGGCGATGTGTGGTAAGCTGATGGCGTAGGTTCGCCTTGGTGCCCTGGCGGCATTCTGTCTGCTCGCGACCGCTCCTCGCCCTCATCAACCGACGGCCGCAAGACGGGATCGCGAAACATGGGACTGGGCGCGTGCAGGCTCTCTCAATGGGAGCACGATGGCTGCTCCATGGACCAGCAGCAGCGGGCTCTGGCGGCGGGGGGCGCGGGCAGCAAGGCGGCGGCAGCAGGGTGAATGCGCCTCAGGCTTTGCAGTTGGCGATGGTCGGCCGGCGACTGGCGATGGATGGCTCTGGATGCGAAGGGCAGCGGACGGGTGCGATGGGAGAGGGACGATGGGGGGCTGGTGTGGAGCAGCGCTGTCCAGATCACACACAGGCACGAAGGGTTGGCAAGTCAGCTTCTGTCTAGTGCGGCTGCGGCAGCTCTGTCCCTGGGGCAGCTCCGGGCGTGATGCAGACCCGCGATGAGGTTTGATGGCAGCGGCCACGACTCGCTGCACATGACGCCGCCTGTCCGACGGGGCGCTGCACACGACGAGAGCCGCCTCTGCGAGTCCAGCGAGGCTTGTGGCGACATGGAGGCCGCCCTGAGGCTGCTGGGGCGGCGCGCTGCCTCTTCGCTGCCCACCTGAGCCCGCGTCTCTCGTCGAAGCATACACACGCCCCCAGATGGTGCATCGACCAATAATTTGCACGCACTCGAGCGGCGCCGTCCAGCATGCAGCCCGTCCAGCCCGGCTGTCAGGCGCACTGTGCGTGTCCGCTTGTCCATGTTGCTGGTGCTGGTGCTGGTGCTGGTGCTGCCCGCGCAAGTAGCCAGCGATCCGGCGTGATGCCCGTTGCCCTCTGCAGCGACGTGCTCCTCGTCTTTGCCTCCGCCCGCCGCGTTGAGGCGTTGCCAACTTCGGCAAATCAACCACCGACCCACGCCTGGCTACTACCATTGACTACTACATACTCCATGCATGCACTACCCGCGCCGCCTACATGCCCTCCTCTTGCACACTCTACTCGCATCTCTCCCCCGCTGCGTCGGCCCATTTGTCTGCCTGATCTGCCTCGCCGTCCCGCTACAGCTGGTCTACGGCGCGCGACAAAGCGCCATGAGCCCAGACGCACTCTAAACGGGGCAGGAGCGTTGGGGCCTGCACTCCCTCATTGGGCGAGCCCTGCCAGCGATGGTGACGGAAGGCGCGACCCATGTCGGTGGGTCGTAGCGTGGCCAAAGCGTAGATCACGCTAAAACTCTGGGCGCTCTCCATCTCCAACTTTTTTCGAGAGCCGCCTTCACCCCGTGAGCAGCGCAAACAGCACCATCAACACTCGTGCACAGCAATGGCCTCCGTATACAAGACGCTGTCCGGCGCGGACAAGGAGGACAAGGACGTCGGAGTCAAGAGAAACAAGCAGCGCGTCCTCATTCTGGTAGAGCATTTGTCTACGCAAAAAAAATCTCTTGCTAACACAAGAACAGAGTTCAAGAGGTGTAACTTTCCGGCACCGCCATTTGCTCCAGGATCTGTACTCTTTAATGTGAGTTCGACTCCAATCCTGCTTCAGAAACCTCATGCTGATCCTGCAAAGGCCCCATAGCCGAAAAGAGGCCAAGCTTGATACCAAAACGAAGCTCTACCAGCTCAATGAACTAGCAGGTACGCATTTCTTCCCAGATGCCCGTCTTTTCTCGACGAGAAATCTCGCAGGCTGCATTTCGAACACTTCCCATCCCATCTTGACCTGAACTAACCCAGTCAGAACTCTACAACTGCAACAATGTCCTCTTCTTCGAGGCGCGCAAAGGCAAGGATCTTTACTGCTGGATGTCCAAGCCTCCCAATGGCCCCACCGTCAAGATGCATCTCCAAAACTTGCACACCATGGAAGAGCTCAACTTCATTGGCAACTGCCTCAAGGGATCCAGGCCAATTCTTTCTTTCGACGCCGCATTCGACAAGCAGGCCCATTTGCGTGTCATCAAGGAACTCTTTACCCAAATCTTCGGTGTTCCCAAGACCAGCAGGAAAGTAAAGCCTTTCGTTGATCACGTCATGGGTTTCACCGTCACAGACGGCAAGATCTGGGTTCGCGTTTTCCAGATTAATGAGAGCGAGCCAGGCAAGAAGAAGGCTGCAGATGGCGAAGAGATGGAAGTCGAAGAGCCTGCGCCCAAGAAGAAGGGAGGAAAGGGAGAACTCGACGTCAGCCTTGTGGAGATTGGTCCACGCTTCGTGCTCACTCCCATTGTCATCCAGGAATCGAGTTTTGGAGGCCCCATCATCTACGAGAACAAGGAGTTCGTGTCGCCCAACCAGATCCGTTCCGACCTGAGGAAGTCCAAGGCCGGCAGGTTCAACAAGCGAACAGAGGCACAGAGGGATGCTCTGCTCAAGCACCAGGAGCTAGGACTGACGTCGCACGGTGGTCGCAAAAAGGAGAAGGATCCACTTAGCGACAATGTTCTATTTGCATAAGTCGTTTGCAACATCTTTTTGGAGGGCAAAAAAAAAGTGGCGTTTATGGGATGCATCTTACATGGGGCTGGCGTCGATTGGTTAGGCTTAGCATATGCCTGCATGTATAGCGATATACCCAATAGCTATCAACTCGTGGGTAGCTCGTCTTGAGCGACCGCTATACACGTCTTTTTGCGTTCGTACATTAATCTCTGGATCCATTGCGCTCAACTACACTGGCTGCATTCTTTCCTTTGTCATGCTTTCTTCTAGTTCTTCCTTGTACTCATTGTTAACACCACTAACCACAGCCATACGAACTCCATGCAGCGCCCTGAACGGATTCAGCACCAACTGTGTCTGTGAAATATTGTTCTCATCCTGGACTCGATGCACCCTGCCGCTTGGGAACTTGACGCGACTAATGGCACCATCAATCAAGTGCACCTGCAGCCGGTGCAGTTGGGGGACAGCAACCAACAGATCCACAAGCTCCCGTACTTTGCTGTGTATGCCGGCCGACAATCCCCGCCCACCATAGTTATACTTGATCATACCCGTGTAGTCATCGACAGACTCGACGTTTACAATATAGTTCCTGATGCGCAAGAGGTTCCGTTGCGAGAAATGGTCTAGGAATTGATATGTTTGGTTCGGCGTCAGGTTATTCGCAGTCCGCCAGCGGTACCGAAAGTTGATTGCACTGAAAGTCACATCAATCACGAACGTATTGTCGCCATAGAGCATATCTGCCGCCTCTTCGTGCACCTGTCGTGACACGGCTAGTAGGGCAGTGCATCCGCGCCGCCAGACAATGTCGTTCCCTGTTTCACGGTCCGTCCGCGGCAGTGTCCGTTGCATGCGCCAACACCCATCGCCATTCTGCCGGACGAACGTCAGATTGTACTCGGACTTTGGGGGTGGGTCAATGGAGCGCTGCAAACGCACATCGAAGGTTGTCGTGTGGGGAAGGACGAGATTGTATATCGCGCGTCGGAGCTCGATTGGGAGGCGGAACAGAGCTGGTGGATACGGAGACGCGGCATTCCAGTGCTGCATTGTTTCTTCCGGTACTGCCAGACTCCAGACTTGCAGACGTGGACGACGGCGCGGTTTGCGATTCGGAGGGCGACATACCTCGCGGACGTCGACGCCATCGGCTTGCCCTCCGCCCCTCGACGCCGATTGGTCCCCACAATCCAGATTGGCTCCACTTGGCGCCATCTAATCAACTTTATGGCTACGTCGTGACGATGACTCCTGATTGTCCTTCAACCACCAACAATGTCAATGGCCTTTGGAAACGACTCATCGGAGTCTGCCATCGTTTGCACCATGTCTTCACAAAATTTCAACGCGTTTTCTATCTATAGCCCCAAAGGAGGGGTCCTATCTATCTGAACTACGAGTCCCGTATCGGTGTAGAAGCAACATAGCTACGCGCCGATTGATTGATACGTTACACAGCACGCTTGCGGCTGGAATACAGTGAAGAGAAGAAGAGACTAGATATCTAGATCGATCGTTTAGAAAGAGACACGGGCCAGTACCAAAGAAGGGATAGATATACATATCAACGTGATAATTGACGAGTGAGTAATATGCATGCTACTAGAGATACATAATCTAGGCCGTGTAGTTTTCGATGCTAACTTTCCAAGTCACGAGAAGAAGAAAAAAACAAAAACATTATCGGACGCTGTGCATCCACCACCAAAATGCTATTCGAGGACCTTGCCACAGAGCTTGTGGTGCAGGTATTTCTATCCTGCACCTCAGTCACCGACGTAACAGCCCTGTCTTCTACCTGCAAACGTTTCCGCAACATCTATTCGTCCTCTCAAAAACTTGCCATCCTTGAATCCGCCGCCGAAGCGCAATTCGGACCCCTCCACGACCTCACCCAGCTCCTCACCCACAACGCCAGCCAACCAGCCCACATCTTCCGCTCCGTCCCCTTCTCACTCGCCCTCCTCGCCCAAATCGTAAAGCATGGCCGCGTTGCAGAAAAATGGTGCGAAATCTACCCCTTCAAAAAATGGAAACACAACTTCGAAAGCCGCCGCCTCTTGACACCCAACGAGCGCTACAGCCTCCGAAGAGCAATCTACCGCATCTGGCTCTACTCCTGCGCCTTCCACAACCCCGCTCACCCCCGCGAACTCCGCTCCACGCGCCTCGTCCTCCTCAAGCGCGCCGCTCTACTGCACAACTGGTCCACGCGCGACCTCGCCGAGATAGCCGACATCCACAACGTCATGCGCGAAGTCGTACAATCAAACATCTGCCCCTCCAACGGCACCATTGCTCGCAAATTCAAAAAGAGACACCCGGGAAACGAACACGGCCTCCTCTTCAACATCCATCTCAACTACCCGCCTACTGCCCCTCAAGCCTTCAATCCCTTTACCACGACCACAAACCCACTCGTCACCCATTTCAACAACACCAATACCTACACGTCTCGTTTCGCTGCAACAAAGTACTCGCTGAGCCCCTCGCACGACGTCGGCGCCGAGGGCTGGGGCGACGATATCCCCCATTACTACGTTGTCGAGGATTACCTCAAACTTGACCCCGCGCAGATTCTCTATCTCAAGGAGAATGCGCCCCTCAAAGGCATGGTCGAGGGCTATGTGCGCAGTTTGTGGCACGACTATGATTGGTTTTCGAATAACGGTGAGACGTGGGCGCAGACGCTCGAGTTTGTACTGGATGAGCGTGGCGAGTATGTGGGCGAGTTTATGGATGCCATTGCCGAGGGCGAGTTGGGGATTGCTGTTGCTGAAGGCGTGTAGATTGGGGAGAGAGAAATGGGTGTAAATGTAGGTGTACGTAGTATTGCTAATATAGAGAATACATATGTTGCAATACATACTTTGAACACCACGTCTTCTTTTTTTTCCTTCCTTTCCTCATCCATGACCCCCCAAAATCTTGCAAAATAAAAATCCCCCCCCCTCACTCCGCAGGTGGACCAAGATCTTGTACAGTACCCAAAGAATCAAAATACGGGTGGGTTGGACAAAAGCCCAGCACGCTCGTGAGGTAATTCCAAAGGCTGACCTATACTCTCCCATCTGACTCAGCACCAGAAAAAAAACCACTCAAGAGGCGGAATATCGCCGGACAAGTGGTGGCACTTCGTCACTCTCGCTGGGCCGGGAATTCACGCAAAGGTCTGGACTCTGTGAACTTGAGCGCAGGCACCAGCTTATCTTCATAGCCCGACACAACCCACGTATTGTCGTCAACTGTAGTATGCACCAGGCCCCTCTGACCAAGCATATCCAGATACTTGCGCACCAAATCGACATCAAGGCGCATTGTAGCAGCGATATTGCTAATGTGCTGTCCGATATACGACGTAGGTCGTGAATGCAAGTCTTCTGTAAGATACTCGAGAATACGAGTGGAATAGTAGTCGTCGTTGTCTATGGCGTCTTCATCGCCTACATAGTCTCCATAGTCTCCATACTCTTCGTCGTATGTATATTCTTTGCTGCCTTCGTCATCATCGTCAAATTGAAACACAAGAGGCGCAGTTCCAGATGAAAGTACAGAACCCCCGTGTGAAGCTCGTTCACGGGCTTGGCGGGCTGTTTGCTCCAGGGCAGATGCTAGGGTTGTTGCATCAGTTTCGTTTTTGCATTTGAAGAATAGCATAAAGGGCATGTCTGGGGGTGTGCCGCGTTTGCGCATGTCGTTTACGATCACCTCACTTTGGTCGTGGCGTACGTCAGTAGCGGGTATCAGGTCGAACACATATTCGAATGAGCTGTTTTGAGAAACCGTGTCGAGGTGCTTGGTCTTGCGACTAGTCCTGCGTTTGTTATTACGGTTGGTCTTGCGGTCAATGTAGACCGAGCTTCCGGACACAAGGACCATGCAAGAGTTGTTGATGAGTCGTGGTTTACTTGTTGTAAATTCCGTGAAAGACACCTTGACATCCGCTATTGTGGTGGCTTCATGTAGAGGCGCGTGTCGAGAGTCATCCTTTGAGGCGATAGATTGAGAATCGTCTTTGTCGGCAACCGAATCAAACGAGGGATTCTTCGCCAGTTTCAGAGACTGCGTTCCCGACTGTTTCGAGGTAGTATTCTCGACTGGTGGAAAATAATTCGGCAAAATATTCTTGTAGATGGCCTCGTCGGTGGCCGAGTATACTACAAATATTATCTTTTCCAGTCCACCCGGCTCTTTGGTCTGAAGAAAACGTCTGACCTCCTCCATGGCAAGCGAAGCGCAATCACGGCGCGGAAAGCCCAACGCACCCGTTCCAATACAGGGTATTGCAACAGATTTGGCTTTCAGATATGTAGCGTCATGCAGAATTCCGCGATAGATGTTGCGTAGCACATTCTTGCTGTCTTTTCTGTACACCTCGGGTGGGATGACATGTAAGATGTTCTTGGCTGGTAAGAGGTATCCAGGCGTCGTTTTGACATCGCCCTCTCGGCATACGCCGAATTTTTGAACTTCTTCTTGTAATTCTGGTCCGCCCTTTTTGAATATAAGACGATCCAGAGTTCCCATGCCTAGAAAGGATGTGTCGGTGGAGTTGACTATAACATCAACTTCGAGCTTTGTCATGTCCTCTCTTGCCAAACACACTATGTTGTTGAAGGTGGCGGATGACTGTGCCATAGTACTTTTTGGTTTGATGACATCATGCTGGTACATCTTCGTTACAGTTGAAATTTGGTGCAGCTTGACCAAGTCCCGACTACTAGAGGCAGTTGGGGGAGAGTGCTCGACAGACGCCAGGTTATCCGGCTGATCGGAAGCATCTCCAGTATCTTGTGCGCGCGCTTTGGCCCTATACCCTTCTAGTTTTGGACGAATTTGAGCCAGATCCAGATCATTCTGTCCCTGTGCCATGACACTATCCAGAATGGTAGTAAAGGAGCAACAGTCCAGTAGAAACTCCTTGAGGTTGGATCCGTATTTCCCATTCATCCCCCAGTCAGTGATTTTCAGGATCTCCTGATAATTCGACACGGTATCTTGTGTATTTTTCGCTGTTTCAGTCATTCCTGAAATGCTGCTACATAGAGTCAAGAGAACAGAACAGAGCAGATCAATGTCTGTTGAGTGTTTCTCTAGCGCTCTGGGTCCCGATAATTCATGGTGAATCGTAGTCAGTGCGACAATAGTTTCATCAAGAAGATCAAGGTATCCGACTTCGATCTCCGGTAGGATCTGGGCGAAATTATGACGGAGCATAGAAGTGGCTTTTTGCAGTTGTGCCTGTGTGTTTATGACCTGAGTGACCATTGCTGCGTTGTTTCCAGACGTGGCCGAACTTGTTGCCATATTTGAGCTTCTTGCCACGTCTAGATCCCCATGTGTTGGTGGAAAGTACACAGGAAAGAAATCCTTGTAAGCTTGCTCGTCTACAGCGGACTTCGCACAAAAAATGATGCGTTCAAACCGGCTTTCAGAGCGCTCATCCAAGTCCTCGCGGACTGCTTGAAGTGCTATACGTGCAGCTTGGTGTGGACCAAAGCCACAGCCTCTAGTTCCCAGGCAAGGAAAGGCCACTGTTCTGATCTGAAGGTCAGCCGCTGCCCTCAAGGCATTGCGATAGCAATCGGCAAGAGTATTCAGCTGCGCTATGCCGTTCCCTCCAAAAGACGTCGGTACTGCAGCATGGATAACCCATGACGAAGGCAGGTTGTGTCCGTGAGTTATTTCAACTTGGCCCAACTTGAGTTGGGGTTTCGATCTTGCCTCTTGTACAAGATCTGAACCACCTGCTTTCATTATAGCGTAGTGCAACGTGCCCCGGGGTGGTGAGTATTTCAGGTCGACAACGACATTGTTGACAATGGCGTCTACCTCCAGTCTTGTCAGATCATAGTTACAGAAAGAGATCATACGATTGTAAGAATCGTTCGATGCGTAACTCTGGTCTAATTGTGATAGTTGTCGGGAGCGGTATAATGACCGCAGTGTGGGTATGTCATAGATGCGAAGAACCGGCTCTTTGTCTAAGCTCCGAATGGGTTCTAGACGATACGAGGTTCTTGGGTTATTCAGTTGATCTCCTATCACGTCCAGAATATTTTGATTCGCATCAGGAAGTTGTTGTAAATTCTCAGCAGATAGAAGATCGCGGCTGGGATCAACCTCCTGAACAGACTCAGGCGGGTCAAACTGCAGGGTAGCTGTTGAACATGTCAGCTGGTATCTCACATAGATTGCACGCTCTCATATATGGAACAACTTACGAAGAGTGTTTTCTTTGCTCTTTTTTTGCCCGTCACTCACGTTGGTAGATACAGAACTCAAGGAAGATCTAGAGGTACCACCGGGGCTCGGGACCCCACTGGCACCATCTGAGTCATCTTCCATACTATGAGGCAGGGCAAAGGTTGCGATTCGCTCCAGATGATTCGCGATGTGGCTTTGCAAGTCGCCTATCTCTTTGGCATCCGTGGGTGCGCAGCATATGGGGCATCTTTCTCGCAAGTCTATCGTAGTAGCCTCGCCAACCTTGGCAATGGTCACCAGCTGGCTCTCTGGAAAGCTATCGAGATGCGTTTGCCGGAGGTGATCTTCCAAGCCCGACTGAGAATGGAAAACTGCAGTCGGATGCTCCGGACATCTCCATACTTTGCGGTGGCTTGCTTCGTGCTCGGCCCACTCTCTACGACTGCGAAACAGCAGGTGCGAGCTCTCACAGTCCTGGTATGTACAGCCATACGGCTGTAAGTCTTGAAGCAGATGCGTTCTCCAGGCTCTCCCTTTTCCGTATCTTGCGGGGCAAACGATCCAACAATAGGGACATTCGAATTCTTTGTCACCGTCTGCCGATTTTGGTGGCGGAGGAAGGTCGATACCTTTTCCGTGTACATCCTTGACCGTTATTGCGTAGCTTGTTACAGATTTGTTGTCTACTATATCGTCCAAGGATTGGTGAAGCTGCGTTACCTCTGTCCCTGAGAGCATCGTCTTACCAGTCTTCTGACTTGGCGCTTCTCTCAGGGCTGCAACTACGGGTACCGGATGTGCTTGTGGGCTTTCGTCAGATGCTGTCGCAGGTCTCTCGAATGGCGCTGTAACATGGGGTTCTTGCACATCCTCGGACATTGTAGAGGCACTCAACTTATCACGATCTGAACAGTTAGTTATATTCAGTTCTATGGATGTATTCGAAAAGACTTACGTCGTTTCCAGTACTTGAAGTGTCGTCTCCGAAGTGTAACAGATGCACTCAGCCGCTTGATCAAATAGTCTTGATCTTCTTGCGTATCGCTGGCTACGTACGGTTGACGCAGATGCGATACCAACTCCTGGACATGCTTGAGGTCTTGCATAGCATACATGTCAAAGATATCGATTCCCGTCTCTGGATCCTTTTGTGTGTAGGAGGATGCTTTGAGAGATCTTGAGCGTAGGCCAGGGGTTCTGATGCGGACGCTAAGCTTGTAGAGGTTGTCGATAATGTCGACGATTTCCCCAAAGCGCATTTTCAATTCTGTTCGGGGTTCATCGCTGCTGCTGCTATTATCGTCGTCTTCTTCTTCCGCACTGAAGAACCCATCGTCATCGTCATCTTCAGTCATGTCTGGGCGGGCCTGCTCTTCGTAAGGTAGTCGAGCCCCAGATGCCACTGCATAAGCTTCGTTGACATTGGTTTCAAGCTCCCTAAGAAGCTTTAGTGTGTTGGTATTGGAGACTGGTGAGTCTCGCAGCCTGTAGTCAAGCGAGCTGTGCCCTTTCTGCAGAGCGCCGAGGTTTCCAGCCCAGACACGAAACCTCCCGATTTCATCTTCAAGTGCCTCTTCGTCGATTGCATGTGTCCATTTCCGGCCGCTGGCTTTGAGTGCAGTGATCAGATTCTGGAAAGCGCGAACATTGGAGGCTGTTGCTAGTCTTAAGGAGGACATGACAAACAATTAGCATGTTGGGGAAAGGGCAAGTGGGGAAGGAGAGAACTGGGACTGGGACCCTTGGGGTAATTCGTTTTTTTTTGGTGCGCCAATGGCTCTCAAATTTATGCGTGTATGATGAAGGTCGATGCGATGGTTTATTCGTACCGCCAGATGCTGGTGCCTCATTCGACATGGGGGGGCTCGCGATGCTACTACTAGAGTTTTTGTAGTTTGGTGGGGGGCGCAGCTGAGGCTGTGTTTCCCAGGCAGCCGTTGTGTTCGTCTGTCACCTCTCTGCTCACAAATAACCCAGAATTGTGTATAACATCCAGATAATCCTATAGAATCATAGTCACTAGCTTTGGTCATTCAAGGTGGCCAGCGTATTTCACGAGCACGTGCTTCGACAGTAGTAAGCGCCAGGCCCCACTTGTTCCTTCTCCCCCCCGCGCGCCAATGACCCGCGACGCCTCGTCTTGTTAGATACTGTAGAGAAGCGCTGCGATGAGCGGCATAGAGGTAGCTGGCCTTGTCCTTGGCTGTCTACCGTTGATCATACAAGGTACGCAAAAGTCGAGTTGTAAGTGAGGGGTAACAACAAGCTCACAGCAGACTAGCAATTGAAAGCTATAATGAAGGGCTAGATCCAATCAAAGGCTTCTTTGGAAGGGATAAGGAGCTCCCTATTTTTATAAGAAAATTGAGGGCTCAATATGATCACTATGATCAGACAATCCAGCTTCTCTTCGGATCCATCACGTCGGATGTCGAGTTTGCTTTAATGATGACTAACCCTGGGTCGTCGCAAGAGCTTTGGAAAAGTAAAGAGGAGGCTCTCCAAGAAAAGTTGCAGACTACGTATAAGTCGTATCAGAGGACAATATTGGAGATTGAAAAAATAACCAAGAAGATAGCAAGCAAATTAGATCTAGATCGCGCAGCAGAGGTAGGTACGGAAAGTAATAGGATGCTCAAATCATGCTAATGTAAATCTTAGATTACACGGAATGATCTGGAGGCACTGTTGGCCGCAAACCCCAAGAAGGCCAATGACAAGTTTGAGATTAGAAAGCGCGTCCGCTTTGGCATGAACAAGAAGACGATCAAGGCGCTCCTGGAAGAACTGGACGAATGCAACAAAAGCCTCGAGAGGTTCACGGAAAAGAGTGAGAAGATAGAGACATACCACCGAGCGACGAAGCCCTCGTATGCCTCGCGGTTGCAAAGACTACAGCGGTATGCCAAGACGTTACACGAGTCGCTGAGTGTATGCTGGTCGTGTTCATGCAAGTCATTGCATCGGACAAGCCTCCAGTTGGAGCTTCGGGAAGATGTCTTTGCCCCGAAAGGGCAGAAGCAACTCGACACTCTGAAAACAAGCTTTAGTGTTGCTTTTTCAACCACGGCCTCCGATGGAAGCGGTGTGCCATGGCTAATCCAGGCTGCAGAGGTACGCGTGGAAGAAGAAGAGGAGGAGGGGGAGGAGGGGGAATACTTCGTTCCCATAGCATCTCCCAAACCAAGGTATGTATGAAGGCGATGGAGACGTCTCCAACGGCAACGATGCATGTGTGCGCGCTAGCCATGAGATTGTGAGCTAACAGTGGTAGGATGACGAAGAGCGTCAGTTTCGGAACCCCTCCGCCATACGCAGTGAGCGATCCTACCAAAAAGTCGCTTGGTCCGCACCAAGAGGTGAAGGACTTGTGTGCATCTATTCAACAACTACACAAAAATGCTTCGAGAATCGGGTTTTCGTTGGATAGCAAAAGCAAGTTACGGGGCGCTTACCCATTGGATACGGCAGAAACATACATGCCTACCGTGGAACTGGTATCTCTAGAGGATCTGCTTCGACAGCCACCAGTCATTAACGGCAGACGGTCGAAGCTGAGCATGAGGGACAGGTATAGGCTAGCGTTGACACTAGCGTCCAATGTGCTGTATTTGAACTCGACGCCGTGGTTGGCCAACGAGTGGGCAGCTCGGGATATTATGTTTCACCGAAGGTCGAATACTGCACAACCGATAAACATTGAGCGCCCATATCTAGCGCCCGCGGTTGTTGAGGCGGCCAATGGGACGGCGAGAAACATGCAGGCAGGCGGCTTCAGGAACACTGTGCTGATTGCTCTGGCTGTGGCTCTTCTGGAGCTGTACTTTGGAGTGACTGCTGAAAAGTATCAAGAGTCGGAGGCAGAAGACGAGGTGGGCGATTTGTCAAAGCAGCCGGGGCCGTGGAAGCTGTGGGCACTGGCGCGTAACTGGACCTTCAACGAGTCTGGGAACCTGTCTGCTGCTTTCCAGAATGCAATTCGGCATTGCATAACAGGGTCCAGCGATCCTTGCGCCAGTCTCGAGGATGCCGAGTGTCTCCAGGCAGCGGTGGAAAACATTGTTCTGCCACTACAGGAGGAGCTCCACCAGTTCCTGGGCAAGACGACAAGGTGAATAGAGCAGCGCGGTATAGCTACAGTGCCGGGTCGGAACGGCAGCCGCTTACTCAACGCACATGACCTCGTATTCGATGCACCCCGCGCGCGGTTGGGATCTGACTCTGGGGTAAAACGAGACTCGCTACTCTTAGTGCGGCAGATGTTGTTGGAACGTCATGGTTGAGGGGTTTGTGTAATTGTTAGGCCAAAGTAGTTTGGTTGCGGATAGCGGCAAGGCAAGCAAGGTGCCATGGCAACGAGCGCACCTCGCGGGAGGGCAGCGTGGCAAGTTTGGTATTGTAGAGGTTGGAGGGCGGCTTATCGGATAGGGCCACAGACGTGGTTGGAGGGCTTGGAGGGTTTGGCGGGCACAACATGGGCCATGTCTCGCACCTGCCACATGGGTAAAGTGTAGTGTACCTAGGTAGGTGTACTGTAGGGGAGATACAAAGACCCGGTTGGTTGGATATGTTGTCGGAGGGAGAGGCGTGTGATTGCAAGAGGAGCGACAAGAAGCTTTGCGTGGGCAGTGGGGCGTAAGCATGTGGAGGCGATTGGTGAGTGTGACATTGCGGGGGTGTCTGTTATCTATCCAACGTTGTCCGCTGCGACTGCACACTCGACACGGTTGCTCGACCTGGCAGCAGAGGCGCGCGTGTCGCAGAATGGATGAGCACAGGCGATTCGGACAACGTCATGGGCCATGGATGGCCATGGAGGAGAAAGGCAATTTAGCTGGGCCCCTAATGGAAATTTCAATGGGCATTGAAGATCTAGCGCACCGCCAGTGCACGGCTTGCATGAGGCGGGATAAGGCGTGTGGTGCATTGCGATGAGGATTCCAGGTTGATTAGCGTTGTTATGCTGAGCAGGCATGCGTGCCAAACGGGGCGCACGTAAGACGGGGTCGTCGTGGACGTGGCTGCGAGAGGCTGCCATTGGTGCCGGCGCGGCGGATAGTCTGACATTGAGCATTTTTTTCCGTCTTTGCAGGCGCAAGTGGTCTGTGGCGATGGCGCGGTGAAAATGCCCCGATGGGACGACTACTGCTCGAGTACGTAGGTGCTAGGGCGAGAGATGGCAAGCAAGCCGCCGGTTATGCTGTACACCGCCTAGGGCAGCGGGCCAATATGCAGCTTGCGACGGGGGGCGCAGGTGGGACAAGGAGCTAGAAGCGAGTGGCTTCGGCAAAGGCTCTTGTTGGCGCGCGCGCGACAGGGCACCGACATTGCTGAAACAAGGACTACACGTACGGTCGGACGAACGATGCGGAGAGCGGGAGGGATTAGCCACGCTGAAGGGCTGCTAAGTAACAAGGAACCAAGGGCGGGTGGTGTGAAAAGGAGTAGTGTACTGACGCAAGCACACAGCCTCTTGGGCAGAAGAGGGGGGTGTACGTGTGTGTGTGTGTGTGTGTGTGTGTGTGTGTGTGTGTGTGTGTGTGTGGCTGCGGCAAGAGGGTTGGTTGCGGCAGCGCTCGCTCTATTAATGGAAATAACAGACAGGTCGGGACAATTTTCCAACGTCGGCCGGCGGTTTGGTAGAGGCAGAAGCAGGCAGGGCAGGGCTTGGGACATGTCGGCTATGTACACTACTTACTGGAATGCAATGGCCGCCTCTACTGGCTGGTATACGTCCATGTATCCAGACTATGTACTATGTATCTATGGCCTGTATGCAGCGGGTACACCACGCCACTACTGTACGCTGAGCATGCACGCTACATGACGACAAGATTGGCCGACAACCAACTGCTCCCGCCACCACTACCACAACATCAACAATAACAACACCAGCATTTATCAACAACCATAACAACGCCACTGCATCCATCCCTCCCATCCATCCCTCCAGCCATCCGCCCTCCCCCACGCGCACCCCCCCCTTTCTGCTTCTCCGCCCCGACATTGCTGCGGCTAGTGGGTTTGAAGCGGCGGCCAGAATTGCGCACTCAACGCCTGCTAGACAGCCCAGGGCCATCCTGGTCGAGCCTGGTCTTGGCGCACCGGCACCCCTTAACGTCACCTTCGATTCCGTTTTCTCGACTCCCAATTCAAGCTCCTGCCAACCCTTACCCTTTGGCACGCCTTCTCACACGACACTCGTTCACTCAAGGGAAACACGCCCGCCAGCCCATCAGCGCAGAGCGCACCCGTCCGCTCCTTTGCTGCTGCTGAGCCTGCCCGACCACCACCGCACTTATACTCTCCCGCTCCCGCTCCCGCTCTCTCTCTCTCTTTCTCCCTCCCTTCCACACGCATCCACCCACACATCCACCCACCCACCATGGCACAACAGTACGCCTTCCTTCCCTGCCGCCCCCCTGCGCCCACATGGCTAACAGCACCCTAGAATCACGTCGTCCTTGAAGGACTTCTGGCACACAATGACTTCGTATGACCGACATGCCTCACACGACTCGCCCTATCGGACCGGCCGCCACATCCCCATCCCCCAGAGCCGCCACGCCGCCCTCACCTCCATCACCGCCAGCGGTGCAGAGTCCCGCACCGATCTCGACTCGCCCTACCAGCACGACGAGCTCGCTACCAGTAATGGCTTCATCGGCTCCCCCAAGGGCCCAATGTCCCCCAGCTCCCCCTACTCACCCGGCATGCGTAGCTCCCTCAGCCGCCAGGCTACATTGGACTCGGACAGCTTCGGCAAGGGCCCCAATGGCCAGATCCAAATGCAGGACTTCAACGAGGGCCTACCTCCCCCACCGCCTGTCTCTCACTCATGGAGGCGCATTGACCGCTGGGTCGAGGACAACTTCCAAGAGCTGTTTGACAACATGTGCGAAGGGTGCACATCCAACGACGTCAACGAGCTAGAGCACGAGCTCGACGCTACCCTCCCCATGGATGTGCGCGAGTCTCTTCAAATCCACGATGGCCAGGAGCGTGGCGGTCTCCCCACCGGTGTCTTCTTCGGCCTCATGCTACTCGATTGCGAGGAGATTGTCATGGAATGGAGGAACTGGCGCAAGGTCGCCGATGAGTATCTGACCACAAAGGTCGACTACTCGACACCCCAAATCCCCGTCAAGGCCTTCGCTGGCTCGTCCACCACACCGCCCGTTGCCCAAGTGCAGAGCACCACGAACCCTCTGTGGCGACAAGACCTGCTCGCTCGCCAAGACTCGCAACCCCCAAATGCCATACAAAAGGCCTACGCTCACCCTGCCTGGATTCCTCTTGCCCGTGACTGGGGAGGCAACTACCTCGCTGTCGACCTCGCCCCTGGTCCCAATGGCACATGGGGACAAATCATCATCTTCGGCCGTGACTATGACCGTAAATACGTCGTTGCACGCTCATGGGGTGCGCTTTTGGCCATGGTAGCAGATGACTTTGCTTCCAAGGACGTGCACCTGGACGAAGAAACCTCCGAGTTGAAGCTCTTAATCTTCAAGCGCCAGAATGTCGAGCCGCCCTATCTCGAGGTTCTCCGCTGGCGGTGCGATCAAAAGTACGGCCGCCGACCACCTAACAAGAAACGCCCAACAAGTGGTCTGCGCGTTAACCCAAACGCCCCGGGCATGGTCGTTCCTAGCAGCACAGCGAGCAGTCCCTACCACAGCCCCGTCATTGGCCCTGAAGATCGCGGTCGCAGTCCTCACCGTCTTTCGAAGCCCCCAAAAGGTGTCAGTCCACGCGGTAAACTCTCGAGCCCCTTGGCCCGTGTGGCCGAGGAGCACCCCCAACCGGTCCGTGTGAATACAAATCTCGACTCAAAGGCTAGCGCCCCCACTGAGAACCTCATTTCTGTTGATACCCCGAGACCGAGCAACGAACTCTCTCAACCTCGCAACAGCATAGGTAGCGACAAAGAGAACAAGGACATAAAGAGGACATCTTCATCATTAAAGAGTCCCACTGCCGTCGCAGAACCAGAAGGGCTGAAGAATGTCGAGATATAAACAATCTCGCAGCAATCGATTCTCTCTCCAAACCATACTTCCCATTGACGATCTACTATTAGAAAGAACCGGCTGGATACCTGACAGTCCAATACACATGACAGGAGTGCAGGCGTAGCATGGAGTACGATTCATCGCAAATTTGCCTTGTGATGACTGCTCGGCGTATTGACAACATTTCCCATTCTCCAAATCAAACGGCGTTTTTTTCCAACAATGCAAATCTACTGCTTTTTTTTCTTCTTCTCTTCAACTTCTCTTCCCAGCACACACGGCCGCACCCGAACGTCTTGGGGGGTGATCATTTCCCGCAATCTCGCAGACCTTTTGTCCACTGGCCGTTACCAAATGCACACAAAACACAAGCCGTAAAAGCAGCACCACCAAAGCATGCCCCATTAATCCTGCTCCTTAGCAACCCGCATACTACTGCTTTGAGCTTCAACTTTTCATCTGCGCACACCAAACTTGTAACAACATTTTTTTCCCCTCTTCTTCTCCTTCTCCTTCAGCTCATAGCGCTGCAATGCTTGTCACTTTTGGCAGCAAAGCTTATCTTTCTTTCTTTCTTTCTTCTTCTTTTTTTTCTAATCTTCTTCCTTTACAGACAACGAGTAGTGGTGGCTTGGTATGGTGGTTGTTGGGTTTTTTGCAGGGCTGCACAAATACACCCATGTCCTGGAATGGGGGAGGAATGTTTGTTTTGGAGTAGTGGGAACATATGAGTAAGGGAGAGACGAACTTTTTTTTGCTCTTCTTCTTTACCATGTGGACTCGGAATACTTCCTGTACACGTCAAGGAGGAGGAGGAGGCTTTGATAGCTATGTTTTTTCTCTCTTCTCTTCTCCTCTCTATTTCTTGGGTGTGCGTGTGTGGGGTTGAGGTAGAGTTATCTGACAAGTACAGGGGGGGCTTTGGGTGGTGGTGGTGATGGTGGCAGTTGGTAGTTGTAGAAGAAAAATGCATGGGAAATATTCACTCGTTAGAATCTGTTGTCTCTAATGCATGTGCTTTTCTATACTATTAATAACGATCTTGTCATCTTTCGCTGTATTTGACTAAAAGTGTTCTGAATAACTAACAAAGCTGTGCCTCTCAACATATACTACCCATCTCTAATCATTCATTTGTACAAGGTAAAAGAAAAAAAACCAGCCAAGGGTACCAAGTAACTACTTCCTCTCTAGAACCTAAGAACGATTTGCACGTCGTCTGCAGTGATGAACAAATGTCAAAAAATTAGAAACGTAGAGACGGCAGATTTCGTCCAGTGACATCATCACAACATCCAAGAGGAAGCCCAGAAAAAAAAAACCGAAGATAGTAACACGTCGAATATGTTACTCATACCACTAATATACATATACATATAAAAAGAAAAAGAGCCCCCCTACTTCTCCCACACCCTCTCAAAAAGCCCCCTTAAACCTCTCCTTCCTCGCCTCCACCTCCTCCTTCAACCTCGCCTGCTTCTCCTGCCTCCCAACACCCTTGACATACTGCAGCAACCGCAACGCCCCCGTCGGCGTCACACCCTCGACGCGGCGAGCCATGCCCACGCTCTCTGGTCTCGCGGCCTCGAGCGCGCGCTTCTCTTCGAAACTGAGGCCGAAGATGGCTTCGTAGTCGAGATCGATGGGTAACTGCAACTTCTCGTCCTTGAGCCAGCGCGCTTGCGATGCGGTCTGGTAGGCGACGTACGGGGCATAAGTGGCTTCGATGTGGACACGGTGGCGGATGTAAGGGGTGAAATCGTGGATTTGGGGGAGTAAAGGGGAGAGCGAGTCTGGGGTGGTGTTGGGGAGGCGGAGGAGGTCGTAGGCTGAGCGCTTGGTGCTGTCGTTTCGGACTGCGAAGCCGTGTTTGGTCCAGTCGGTCCAGCCCATTGTTTTGGATTGCAGGAGGGCAGTTAGTGCGGAGATTTGTGCTGCTTCGTCCTCGAAGGCGCGCCAGCGCGTGTCGCTGATGATGCCGGCCGCGCGGCCGAGAGACGTGAGGCGCGAGTCTGCGTTGTCGGCGCGGGCAGACATGCGGTATTCAGAGCGGGAGGTGAACATGCGGTAGGGTTCCGATACGCCTTTTGTGATGAGGTCGTCGATCATGATGCCAATGTAGCCGTCTGCTCGGGTTAGGACGAGGGGGTCTTTGCCTAGGCTTTTGAGTCCTGCGTTGATGCCGGCGATTACGCCTTGGCCGGCGGCTTCTTCGTAGCCTGTTGTTCCGTTTATCTGGCCGGCTAGGAAGAGGCCAGAGATGTTCTTTGTCTCTAGGGTGGAGCGTAGATGTCGTGGATCGACGTAGTCGTATTCTACGCCGTAGCCAGGTTGCAGCATGGTTACGTTCTCTAGACCCTTGATGGTCTTGAGCATAGTATTTTGAACATCTGCAGGTACAGTACAAGAGATGCCGTTGGGATAGATAATGTCGTTGTCAAAGCCTTCGGGTTCCAGCCAGACGATATGTGACGACTTGTCAGCAAAGCGTATGACTTTTGATTCCAACGATGGACAGTATCGCGGGCCTTTGACGGTTTCTCGGATATGTATCGACTTGTCGAGATTTTTGCGTATAACATCGTGTGTTGCTTCATTTGTTCGTGTCTCGTGATTCAGTAGTTGATTCTCCACTTGTACGCGGTCGTTCAGATAGCTGAATGGCATCGGCGGATTATCTCCTTCTTGCGCCTCCAGAACCTTGTAGTCAATTGTCTTTCCGTCTAGTCGTGGTGGTGTCCCCGTCTTTAGCCTTCCCAATGTGAAACCAGCCTCTCTTAAACTCTTGCTAAGCCCAAGTGTTGCAGCCTCGCCCATGCGCCCAGACGGATATGCTTCGAGTCCAATGTGTATTTCCCCGCCCAGAAACGTACCAGTGGTAATTACTACGTTTCCTGTTGGTATGATCTCGCCGCTCTCCAGTCTAACGCCCGTAATCTTGCCATATGTTCCCTTTGAGCCCTCCTCCTGTGTCCGATCCACAATGATATCTGCTACACTCCCCTCCAATACGCTCAGGCCCTTGTACGAAAGCATTTCGTCCTTCATGTATCTCTTATACAGTGCCCTGTCAATCTGCGCTCGTGGCCCCCACACTGCAGGCCCCTTCTTCCTGTTCAACACCCTAAACTGCACGCCAGCTTTGTCCACTATTCGACCGACGACGCCATCCAGAGCGTCAATCTCGCGGAGCATAGTGCCCTTGCCAATTCCGCCAAAAGAAGGATTGCACGAACATACGCCGAGATTTTCGACCGAGGGCGTTACGAGGGCCGTTCTTGCACCGGCGCGTGCTGCTGCTGCTGAGGCTTCGCAGCCTGCATGGCCGCCGCCAATGACTATTACATCGTAGGGTCTAAAATATGGTCAGAGGGGGGTGACTAGTGGGGTAGTGAGGATGTAGCGACATACCGTTCAGTGGGTGAGACCGTCGCAAATGTTCGATGGCTTCGATTGAGGCGCCTCACCGACCGCACACGAGGCGCATGTCCCCATAGCTGACGCGCTGGTAGGGGTATGATCCGTTGCATATTGGGGTAGTGTGTTGTTGGAGTCTTGTAGTTGCGCTACAAAAAAGTTGAGGCAGCCTCTCGGAGGTCTTCGTTCGCCGCATTTTGTGTCTGTGCTCAGGTGGGTAGGTACATACTAGTAGTAGTAGTACGTAGTAGCTTGAGAATAATTGCTGAAGTGGCGTTGACACGGGCAAAAGAGCATGTAAAATCAATCCATGGCTACCGCCTGTTGTCAAAATCATGGGCAGCGCGAATCAATGCATTGCAAGGAAAAAGGTATCATTCGGAAAGCATTATCGCCAGCCGCTTTGAGCGGAGAGATCATACAGTAGAAACGTTCAGACAATATTCATACACTCTGCTATCCTGAATCAAGATTCGGCAAACAATTCATACTGCGGCTGGCAAAGGCCATCGCCACTGCCATTCGCAATTGCGTGTGCATTGACCTTGCCACGCCATCCTCTTCCAGTCAGCCTCCGAATTTAAGACATGTTGCGCAAAGTGACATTGATTCTACATGAGAATTGAAGCCGTGCATGTCTAACCGGAGGCCTCCTGGATGAGACCCTCGTCGTTGGTATCAGGCTCGTCGCTGCGGGCGCGCGACAGCACGTCAAAGTTACCTAGCAAAATTGTTAGTAATGGCTCCCATCCTAGCATCAATTCTCATGACAAAAACATACGGGCGACCAAGCTCAAGTTGCTCTTCTTGTTTCCCTCACTATCGAGATATGTCTCCATGCGCGCATCAGCATCGACATAGAGCAGCGAGCCCTTGGGCACATTCATCAAGAAATCCTTCTGTGCGCCCTGGACAAAGCTAGCAATCCGGAACCAGCTGGTCTTTTTCTCTTCGCCCTTGCCGTAGCTGGTACCAACCACGTAGCGCACCAATGTTCGGTCTCCAGAAATGGTAACCTCCTCTGGCGCAACTCCGAGGCGGCCGACAACAGTCATGCGGGCAACTTGCGAGGGGCGAGTGGAAGAGAAACTGCGTGTGAAGGCGGCGGCGGCGGCGGGCTGTGCGCGCACGGCAGTGCGGATGGTTGAGGTGAACATGTTTGCCGGTGGTGGGAGTTGTCGAATTGGAGAGATTTTCTGGATTATCAGGTAGTTGGCGACGAAGTTTATGTCAGTGGTTGTTCAGATGCAAGAGAGTGGGGTTGTTTGCTGACGAGGGGCGCGACGTGGACGCGGTTGTGCGACAGAAATACACTTTGCTGTTTTGGGCTTGGACTATAGCCAGCCGCAACGGTTCAACGCTACCCTGCGAGTATACAAGGTTGACATATCAAGATTAGTCGCCCAATGGATTGAAACATCGTACGCGTATCTGTTTTACTGGGCTGACCCCAGCCATGTAACTGGGTATCGTATTGCTTTCATTACCGCTTTACCCTTTTGCTATCTCTCTCTTCTTCGCTATCATAATCTTTGTAGATGCCTACTGGTTGTGTCTTCTCCCATGCACCCGTGAAAATGGCCTTTTCACCTTCTTTTGGCGCATACTTGAGTAGCGCCTCTCTAGGGTCCTCGTCCCTCATATCACTGCCAGCAATCTGCTCCATAACGTACTTCTGATCAGGTGTAGACTTGGCAAAAGGCGTTGTAGCAGGAATATGCGGCCTTCTGGGATCTCTGCTCTTGCCTGATGCTGTAAGGCCAATGGTAGGGTGGCGTGCTGAGAAGGATGCCGCGTTGCCGGATGGATCGTGGGCCTCGCCTGCCATACCTAGCGGGTCCATGTCTACTGTGAGGGACGGGTCGTCGTCAACGTGTCGCTTCTTAGGCTTTTTGCTCAGAATTGTGAGGGCGCCGGCGTTAGATAGCTTGGGATTGAAGAGAATGGTTGTTTGACCATTGGCCGAACCGGTGAGGATTTGGTTGAGCTTCGGGTGCCAATTGACCGTGACTAGAGGAGAGCCTGGCGTTACAGGTGTGACCAGTTCTGGGCGAAGCGTCGCTGGGTTAAGGATATGCAAGTGGCCAGTTCCAGATCCTGTAATTATGCTTTGCATGTTGGGCGCAAACTGGATATTAGATGTAGGGAATTGTGACGAGGTAGAAGGGTGTGATGTCGTGTTCAGAGGTGTCTTAAACTTCCTCGTGTCCCATAGCTTGATCGTGTCGTCGCCGCCTCTCGTGACCACTAACCTCCCATCTGTACTGATATCAATTCCGCTCGTCCAAGTGTCCTTTGTATGTGCATCCTTTATTTCGGCTGTAGGACGATGGTATGGCCCTTCACCACCCCACATGACCAAACTTCCGTCAAGGGCTGCCGAGACTAGCATACTGCTTCCTCCTTCGGCTGCCGCGCCCCAAGCAATGGCTGTCATCCTGGTCATGCCCGCGCTGCCGGCAGCTCTGGATTTGTACACAATGACCTCCTCCTGCTTCATCCTCTTGTTGACATCCCATATCCGCACTGTGCTGTCCGTGCCTGCTGTAGCAAAACGATCGCGGTTTGTCGGGTGCCATGCGCCGCTAGTAACCTCTGCTGTGTGTCCCTTTGTATTATGCTTGTCTCTCAAATACATATCCCCCTTGACGAACTCCGATATGAGATCTCCATCTCGGCTAAAAAGCCTCGGTTGTGATGTCGCAGTTATGCAAAGGAACTGTCCTCCCGACTGTGGACCGAATAGGACCTGGTGTATCGAATGCGACTCGGCTGTCTGCGATGGCTTGGTGGTGAACGGGTCGACGGTTTTGAACGCGCGAATCGTACTAGGAGTGAGAGCACTCAGGTCGTGAAGCTTGAGCATGCAGTCATTACTTCCAGTCACCAACCGCGTGCCAGAGGGATCGAGGGCAATTGTCGTAACTGCGCGATCATGCGTTTTGATAATCAATTCGTGCGACACCGGGAACTCGTCTTCTTCGTCGCTCATATCGCTATCATCATCGGAGTCTTTGTCATCGTCTGATCCGTCATCTTTCTTTTCTGGCTTGCTCTCGTCGACAACCTTCCGGCGTGCGCGTTCGATCTGGGCTTCAACGTCTACGGAGCCATCTTTTTTGCCAAACTGACTGGGCATGTACTGTTGGAGAGCGTCATTTTCATCCGCGGAGAAATCCATTTTTGCTCTGTAAGCACAATAAGCAGAAGCTGTGTTGTCGTCTTGAGCTGAACCAGTTGTGAGAAAGTTCTAGGCGGAGGCTGCAGTATGACGCGCCGCACTAGCATAGCGCGCCCGGGTGATTGTGGGTCCAACCACCACCCAGTTTGGAAACATGCCTCATGTCGACATTACATCCACCTTTTGCATGAAACTCAGAAATATCGTGGCATACACTTTGTGTCACATACTCGCCATATCACGCAATAGACGACGATGCACAACTGCCCACGAAGGTCTTGAGACACAGGGGCAGTTCAACGTAGGAATCTTACTGCATGAGGCGGCACAGTTCAGTACGCCTTGCCTATCGCTCGTTTACATGCAGCCAGTCAACAGCCATTCAATAGAGATGAAATCATTCAGAGCTAGCGATATGAGGTAAGATCACAAGTGTACAGCCTCAAGATTCCTTGGAAGACTGCTGGTATAAAGTCGTACCCTCGGCCTACATGCTCGCTATCATCACTGCTTGAAGCAGCACACTCTGAACTCGTACAACATCTCTGTCATGGGGCGTACTCTTATCGTATTCGGAGCTGGTTCTGGCATCGGTGACAACGTGGCTGCGGAATTCGCTTCCAAGGGCATCGACCATATTATTCTACTCTCCCGTAACACAGAACGACTGCAGAATGAAGATGCGCCTTTTGTCTCGAAAGGCACCTCTTCCATCAAAGTTGATACTCTGCGTATCGATCTTTCAGATCTCAAATCCATTCCAGGTGTGCTCAAGGAACTTGATAGCCTAACCGAGGGTGAGGATGTCGAAGTCATTTTCTTCAACGCCGCACGCATCAAGCCAGGGGAAGTCCTGGGAGTAGACGTTGAAGAAATCGAGGAGGACTTCAAGGTACCATCCCACAATTTCTTACATGCTCGTCTACATCACCTGTTACGTAGCATTCACTGACTACCACCTCAGACAACCAATCTATCTCTCTACCTAATCTCACAACATTACATTCCCAAGCTCCAGGCCCTCGCCAAATCCAATACCTCTCTCAAACCTGCTCTTCTTGTCACAAGTAGCCACCCGCCATGGGATCTCATTCCACAGCTTCTTTCACTGAGTCTGGTCAAGGCTGCGCAGAAGAACATGGTGGACAGCTTCCGTCGTTATTTTGGCGACAGTGGTATTCATTTCGGCTTGATTCACGTCGAAGGAACTGTAGCTCCTGAGAACAAAGTGCTGAACCCTGGGACAATCGCCAAGAAGACACTGGCATTTTGGGAGAGTGGAAAGAGAGAATGTATCAACATCAGAGAGGAGTGGTGCAGTGTTGATGAGAAAAGATTCGAATGCTATGTTACCCATTTAAATAATGTGTCCAATCAAGCTTGTTGTCCTACAGCAGCCAGAATAGAGAAGTGTGGTCTGCGGAAGTTACGCCCTTTCTATCAATCATTCGTCTTGTCGGACTCAAGCATTTACACATCCGGCTTACAGAGCGCTCCTCTTATCTAGTTGCACGCGCTTTATCTTGAGAGAATACTGATATGTCAGATCGCAGTCACTGAATGGCATGTCAGTGAGGTGCTGACAGTCTTGTATGAGTAGTGTAACTTTAAAGGTAAAGGAACATATGGATGTACGACATCCTCACATATTCCAGGTAGACTTTGATTGGTACAGTAATATGAACTCTCGGTATTACGAAGAAGGGATAGGGCAAAACGGTACCTGTATACGCAAGCTCGTATAGAGGCGATGCAATAAACGTCCACTTTTCCGTCCGTCTCCGTAAGCTAGCCTTTCACATTAGCTTATGATAGCATTACAAATGAAATGGTCAAACATGCGATCTACACCCTTCCAGGGCACACCCTGAAGCTCACTTCTCTTCACTTTGGTATCATCGATCATGAGTTCACACTGTAGTTTGATCGACCAAACACTAAGCCTGTACGAATTTCAATATGACAAGCAACCCTTGACTTTTTTTTTATCAAAAGTCTAGAGAAGTTGGACAGCGCATTCACGTATACACACCCTCATTCACGAACAAGCGAAGGAACAAGCAGCGAATAAACAAACAAAGGTAGAGAAGAGTGCGCGAACGTAAAATTAGAACCAGAAGAAGAAGATGAAAAGAAAACCTAATAAAAGAATACATTAAATGCTACCATTACCCATTTCGATCGCGATCTCATCCAACATTCAATCGCGATCGAAAGGCACAATTGCGATCTAGAGGCGCAATGCAAGCAGCAATCCCTCTCAGTATTCCTTCTTTGCCCTTCGATGCACCCCTCATTCTTTTTGCATACGACCTTCCTTTTCCCGCAGTCGCACGCACGCGCGGCGCTCAACCTCCCGTCCGTTTATCGCGAGTTCGGCACCAGGTACACCCGTACCCCGGCCCCCGCTCTAACCGGAGCCGTGGCGACGAAGCAAACGCCCCAAATATACCTGAAACAACCCAACCTCGTAAACCTGTGCTTTCCTGTACGTGACCAACAAACCCCCCTCCAACCTGCAGTACCGTCTCCACATCAAGGCCCCCTCCGAACCGCGTGCACGACAAATCTCCAAGCACGGGCATGTCACCGTCCGTGAGAAAAACCTACTCCAACATTCTAGACTCCTCCCTACAAGGCCCCCCAAAGCCACTATCATCTCATGTAAGATAAGCCCGCCCTCCCAAGGGCGCACAATTGCGCAACCAAACGCATAGCCCAGAGGTGTAAAGTAAAATAACGAGTGCCTCCAAAAGCAAACCCATCCCGAAAAGCAAAGCCACGTTCAATTTTAAAAACACGAAAAAGGCGTGTATGTGTCAGCGTATAGTAATCAAAGGGCGAGCAGAGTCGCAACCAACAATGATGACGATGACGACGACTCTTGTGTGTGTGACGGAGAAAACCGTCAGGCAAGTTCTTCTCGTTTTCTTCTCGCATACCCTTTCTCTTTTGGCAAAATGCAAAGTGAAGCAAAGGATTTGAGACGAATTAGTTCGAATACATACAACCGAACTGCACAGGCGCACACAAACACACCGACGCGTACGGGGTAGTAAGATAATGAACGGCCAAAAAACATACCCTTGCCCCACATAGCCACCGTGTTATGGTATCTGACACACAGACAACCAAAGGCCGATGATCAAACACCTCCCTCCCAGCTTCACCCC